AAGGGCGGGGCCATAATAGGGAATCAAGTTTTACATAGAAATATGTAGAACAAATCTTTAAAAATGTTCTTCTCAAGAACCACTGAGCCAGGAAAGCTGAAACTTATGTGGAAGCATTCTTGGGTAGTGTAAATTTTAAATTGTTAAAATCATGACCCCCGGGGGTAGGGCGGGGCCATAATAGGGAATCCAAGTTTTACATAGAAATACATGTATATAGAACAAATCTTTAAAAATCTTCTTCTCAAGAACCACTGAGCCAGGAAAGCTGAAACTTATGTGGAAGCATCCTTAGGTAGTGTAAATTTTAAATTGTGAAAATCATGACCCCCGGAGGTTTTGGCGGGGCCATAATAGGGAATCCTAATTTTACATAAAAATATATAGAACAATCTAAAAATGTTCTTCTGAAGAACCACTGAGCCAGGAAAGCGGAAACTTATGTGGAAACATCCTTAGGTAGTGTAAATTTAAAATTGTTAAAATCATGACTCCCGGGGTGTAGGGCCAGATTAAAAACCACTGGGCCCGGAAAGCTGAAACTTATGTGAAAGCATCCTGTATGGGGTAGTGTAGATTCTAATGTATTAAAATCATTTCAGGGGAGGGTGGTAGGGGGCCAGGATAGGTATAACAAGAGGGGGAATCTGGTAAAGATCTGCATCACCCAAGTTACTCAGGTGAGCTATGTGGCCCATGGGCCTCGTCTGATATGTCACCTGTATATAGGATCTGTTGTTAATTTGGTGAGAACTGATCATTTTTAATTCTTGCATCCCAGCTCACTAGTACATGTATCTTAAAGAAATAATATGTTTTGCAGGGACCTTTTGATGGTGTATTGGCGTTTAGTCAAGGGGCAGCCATGGCTTCATTAATTTGTGGACTGAAAGAGAAAGACCCAGGTCTGAATGTGAAAAGGACTGCATTCCTGCTAATCTAATTTAGATAAAGCTTTTTTATAGTGCCTCAGATGAACCTTAATGTAATGTAATTTTAATAAAGTAAAGAATTCTGTAAATTTGAAATTACAGATATAGCAAAAGGGACAAAGTTCAGGAAGTTTTAAAATCCTTTCTAGTGTAAAAGTAGAAGTCAAAACTATTCTGATTGGAGGTTTGATAAGGTGCATTTGGAAAACTGGTCAGGGCTTTTGATTGTCTATAATTGCATGGGCCATTCAAGGGACCTATATTCCCATTCATAAAGTTAAAGGTACTTTTTTTCCCAATTGAATATTTTAAACTTTTCTAATATAGTCAATCATAAGAAAAAATAGTTGGATATGCTTAAAAGCTAAACTTGTTATTTATATTCCTCTGTATTGCAAAGCAAAAATTGAGTTGATAGCAAAAACCAGAAACCAGTATATCATGATTTTAAAGTAAAGTGCTTACTTGTATCCCAAAGTTCCCCAGAAGGTTGCTATTTTGCCCACTCTTTACGGCCCGTTCCCATTCCCAGTACGAGTTATGAGAGTCCTGCTGGTAGTATTAGTTGAACTGTGTTCACACAGAAAATGACATGTGAATCAGTTTAATCTGAATCTACTGCACATCAAAATGTTTCACATTTTCTCCTTGTGAACACTAAGCAAAGCTTTTTTGAATAAAATTTTAATGCATGCATAATGGCAAATTAAATACCATGTCACTAATGTCTGTGGTCAGATATGAGTACGGATGCTCCTTTTGAGTGAAGAACAAAGGAAACTGAGGTTTTCACTAAAAATATGATTGTACAGACTCTATGACAAATAGTATCTGCTTTGCATAAGATGATTTGATTTGCAAATAAAGAAATAAAACTTTAATGAAGCCACATTGATTTACAACAAATTACCTATAATGTGAAATCAATATAATTTGCATTACTTTATACTTTTCAATTTGATATTTTGAATTATTTTACTTTATTACACACTTAGTAATAAATACAGGTTTTTTGCATATGCGATATGGCTGACGTCACAGTAGCCGTATCAACCCTGCAGGGCTGATATGGATTTGCGGGGCTGATATCCGTATCAGCCATGCAAATCCATATCAGCCCTGCAGGGCTGATACGGCTATTGTGACGTCAATATCACACCCTTAGTAAATTAAACCACGTACTTGTGATCATACACAATCTCTTAATTTTAACTTTTTGAAAATAAGGTTAATCTTAATTTACAAATACTTGTAAATTATTTTCCTATAAATGTGAAATAAAATAGAAACAAACCCAAATATAATTAGACTTGTACATGTATTACATGATTATTTACATACTTTTTTCTGAATGTGTTTGTATTTTATTACTAAGTTGTAATAAATATAATTATTTTACATATCTGTATAATGTGCATACAGGATGTGATCATGGAAAAGGGTATGTATTATTCTCTATATATCTAATGTGCATTCATAAGCCCCTGAAATCCTAAGTTAAGATGTGGCATACTTGTTATTACATTTATTATCAGAAGATGCACTAACCCTTAGGCTTATCTACTAAAGATAACAAGATGCTTCTATTTAGTTATTTAATTTTTTTTTGGTGATATAGGCCACGGCTGCTTTAAACATAAGGGAACCAGGCATCCATTATATTGCCTTGATTTGGCATTCCCTAAAATAAACAAACATGAATGGTGGGCCCTGGGCACAGATGCTCACCTGCTTGAACAATAATTGCAAAATTCATTCAATTGGGCACCAAGTCATATAATAAAAATATAGGTTTGGCACTACTGGTGAGCCAAATATCCTGGGGCAATATGTTTCTCCAAGTAGGATGTGATTTCAGCCGTGATGTTTTGGTCAAGGCCCATGGCATACTTAATTGTTATTACATTTATTAGTATAAAGTCATGTAAACCAACTATTATTTGCAGCATCTTTTATTTGTGTTTCTTTAGTTAATTTAAAATACATCCACAACTTCTTATTTTCACAACTCAGGGAACATTGTTCATCAGAATAAAAAGGTGAATAATTGGTTCGAGACGTTGTATATTTTTGAGTAAAAGAAGGTTGCTAAACTTGTGAATATTTCTCACTCGTGATTTAATAAAAGTTGCAATGTTACAGCATCTATCAGGCTCCCTCTTTATTGATAAGGCATACTTATGTAATTTATGGTATGATCATATCAGTTAGAGTTGATTAATTCCTTTCAGACGGTCCATTCCAGTTTGACTTTGTAATACTTGTTGCTGGATTCAAAAGTCGCCAGAAACAGCATGAAAGTTTATATGAGAAACCCATAACAACACCATCCCTACATGTGTTTGGGGACTCTGACAGAGTTATACAAAAAGGTAACATCTTTAAAATAATGACAAAACTTTGATAAAAGTATAACAATTATACTGACTAGTTTATGGAAAGTGATTTTGTTTTTTTTTATTGCCTAATTCAAATTCTTTGCAATTTGCAGATTGTGATAAAATATTGTAGAATATTACATCATCTAATCCTTCCCTATGGTGTCAGGGGCAAATGAAAATGGATAGATTTTATTACTTACATATATCTCTATGCATATATATTTTTATAATATGATTAATTTCATATTACCATATAAGTGGAAATTTTAGCAAGACGCAAATTTAGTGATTTGTCCTTAAAAATTGGTATTTTATTTTTAATGAGATGTAATTTTAGCGATCTTAAAATGCTCACTAAAGAAGCTATAACAAATAATACACAATAATATGTTAGCAATATTCATGCAACTTTAGCGATCTTGGCACCCTTGCTAATAATGCCAATATTAAATCCTCACTAAAAATTCTGCTTATACTGTATTTATATAACATTTTTATACACAAATAACATGAATCAAAAATTTGATTAATAATCTTTTTGAAGGATCTCCTCTAGCAATCTGCCACAATTTATTTGGGTTCAACATATGTATTTTACTGAAAAAAGACATATCAGGATCACCAGACAGAGCAACACACCATTGTTTTTCCTCTGCTGACCATATTGTTTTGATAATCATTTTTAGCTCACCTGAGCTTTTCTGATCACCTGTTGTCCTTCGTCCGTCCATCTGTCTAGCTGTCTGTCTGTCTGTCCGTCCGTCCATCTGTAAACTTTTCACATTTTCAACTTCTTCTCAAGAACCACTGGGCCAATTTTAACTAAACTTGGTACAAAGCATCCTTGAGTGAAGGGGAATTCAAATTGTTAAAATCAAGGGCCAAGTCCCCTTCCAAGGGAAGACAATCAAGAAAATACAAAAATAGGGTGGGGTCATTAAAAAATCTTCTTCTCAAGAACCACTTGGCCAGAAAAGCTGAATCTTATATGGAAGCATCCTGGGGTAGTGTAGATTCTAAATTGTTCAAATCATGACCCCCCAGTGTAGAGCGAGGCCACAATAGGGAATCCAAGTTTTACATAGAAATATATAAAAATAGAAAAATCTTCTTCTCAAGAACCACTGGGCCAGAAAAGCTGAAACTTATGTGGTAGCATTCTTGGGTAGTGTAAATTTTAAATTGTTAAAATCATGACCCCCAGGGGTCGGGCGGGACAATAAAAGGGAATCCAAGTTTTACATAGAAATATATAGAACAAATCTTTAAAAATCTTCTTTTCAAGAACCACTGGGCCAGAAAAGCTGAAACTTATGTGGAAGGATCATGGAATAATGTAGATTCTAAATTGTCCAAATCATGACCTCTGGGGGAAGGATGGGCCATAATAAGGAATCCAAGTTTTACATAGAAATATATATGGAAAAATCTTTGAAAATCTTCTTTTCAAGAACCATTGGGCCAGAAAAGCTGAAACTTATGTGAAAGCATCTTGGTGTAGTGTAGATTCTAACTTGTCCAAATCATGACCCCTGGGGTAGGGCATGGTCACAATAATTATTGGTATTACAAGGGGGGAAATCTGTAAACGAACAGCATTGCCAAAATTTCTCACGTGAGCGATGTGGCCCATGGGCCTCTTGTTGAAATTTTTTTTACTGTATATAATGCTATAATGGGTTTCAAACACATCTGAGAGCTGGTATTTGCAGTTTTTAACATGTTTTTGGTTGCAAAAAATTTTTTAGATACATGAACAGCAGAAACTTTAAAATCTGATAAATTACAGAGGTTTGTTCTGACCCATGGAGTCTACCTAAGAAAAGTAGGTGACATTTATCAATGTAACCCTGTATATAGTCCACAGTCCACTTTTCGAGATACTTGAAAGTGACAGAGAAAACTTTGAAATCTTTGAATTATTTTAGGGAAGTGTCTTTGTATATATTCAAGTTGTTGCATGTCTGTAAGTGATAATGACGGCAATATCTCACAAGAATGGAGGGCATAGGGTAGCATGACTTGTTTCCATATTTTTGCAGATACAACAGGATGAATGTCAGAGTTATTAACTCCAGACTCCAAACATGTTGATCAGAAGATGCTAAATGTGAAGCAGTACATGTAATATGGCCAAGAAATGTATCAGTATTATCCTTATGTAGGGTCCTTGTACATGTATCTGCAGGGTTTAAAAGGTTAGCAAACGAATCAAGTTTGTTGGTGTCAGTCAAATTCCATTTTGGAATGTTTCGTGAATAATCTGTAACTGGGTGAAAAACACTAGGTATTTCAATTTCACAAAGCAGTGGATACTGGTCAGAAACTTAATAGGCAAACTCTGGATACTAATAGGCAAACTCTGGATACTATTCTTTATATTTCACTTCTAGACAGAACCATTCGAGAATAAAAATCAACTTAATTTTTTATCTTTTGTTTGGAATGTATATTGACAATCAGTTGAAAATATACTTCAAAGATTATTTTTACAAAGTTATAGAAACATTTAAAAAAAAAAACTATTTATACATAAAGTTAACATCCAACTTTTACAAGTTTCATATTGAAACAGGGTTGTTTACAAAATAAAAGAAATTAAATAATGTAGTTATATTTTTTATTTTAAAGATAAATACTTGAGTGAAATGGTAGTATAATCTTTAGCCTATAAAACAACTAATACCATATTTCTCCATTTAGTATTTCCATTTCCATTGCAGCCACTTTTTTTGTGTATCAAATACATGTACACATAAAATGTAAATATTTTTATTGGAATTACGATATTGTCCATGCATCAGTAGACATTTGGTCTGAAGATGATCTCTAAGACTAGATGATTTTTTTTCACACCTTGCTCATGTAATATAAACCATTTGAACATAAATGTGGCTTGACCCCAGTACCAAGGTCATTATGGACAAGGTCAGTGACACAGGGTGAAACATCATAAACATCATCAAAATACAGTCTATTAATTGATTGTAAACACACATTCACCTAACTCGGACTAATGGATGGAATAACTTTTTAACAAGGTGACAGAGTTCTTTTTAAAACTATTTGTAAGGGACCCTTTTCTTTGATTGTTCTTTTGGGGTATTGGTTCCATAGGTCCTTTTATGATATTTGTTAATATTTTGACAGAAATGAGTGAAGATTTGCTGCAGTACTTTGTTAATCCTAGTGTTTTTAAAACTGTTCTATTATGATATTTGTTTATTTTTTGACAGAAATGAGTGAAGATTTGCTGCAGTACTTTGTTAATCCACGTGTTCTCACACACTCAGGTGGACATTTTATACCAGTATCCAGTAAAGAGAAAAAGGTGTATATTGAATTCCTTCAGCCATTCTTAGACAGGAAAAAAGGCAATTAACAATGATTTTACAGCTTTATCTCCATGTATTAAAATAATATACATGTAATACCAATATTAAAACTATACATGTAATTTGAAAGGTTTCAAATGGTTTAAAAAGAAACAAAAAATAAAATATTACAAGTTCAATGACTTGTAGTTATATGTTATTAAGGATAGCCTATCCTCAGCCAGGAACGATAACTCCAGAAATTAATATTTAATTTGAAATGCATCAAAATGAAGCTTGAAAATGAAATTTTTTTATGCAACAATTTTCATTTTATTCATCTTTATAAGATTCAAGGTTTTTGGAAGTCTTAGAAAAGGTCTTATAAAAGTTGACATTTGTACCCTATAAAAGGAAAATAATTAATACAGTTTCAGAGAAATAAGATTTTCTTGAATCTAGCCTTAGATACCAATGCTTATTAGCATGATATGAAATAAAAGTGATTTGTGGTGTCTTGCAATGTGAAAGCAAAAGCCTTTTACACTCTGTATTATAGAATACATGACAGAAATAGAAGACAAAAAATAAGTAAAAAAATCATGACAATTTCTCTGAATGTCTGGATACCTATCGTTTCTTAACCTAAAATATATTTGCTGATAAATTTGCAGTAAGAAAATGCATTGCTGATATTCCAATTCGCCTTTTCTGCAAAAATATTGGAGATGTCACAATTTACCCTGTATAGTATGATTAATCTTTAAGGTACAATGATACTCTGATAAGAGAGATAACTCTTAATGATACAAAACTCTATTATTTCTTTATAAATTTGTCAAAGTGAAGTGCCTTTTCTGTCAAATTTTGCCCCACAAGCCATTATAAAATTGTTTTTATTTTATTTAGTGTATACTTTTCTTTTGGAAAATTATAAAAGTTAAAGAAACATTTTATATGAGTAAGCAGAGGGTTTATGAACCTTAACTTTAAAGAAATACTGTGGATAAATTTACATAACTTTGTGGATTCAGAGATACTTTTATGAGTATTTTTGATTACTTAACTGCTAATTTTATAAACCTGAGGATCGGACTACCTTAATTATGAGGTTACTCAAGTCACACTGGTGACATATTGCTTTTTTCTTTTTATTGCTCTTTCTCATCCATCGTCATATAACGGTATTAGATATTATCTCATCTTTATAAAGGCCGGGATAACCTCCGGGTGTTGCAGTTTTAAACTTAATTCCTTTAGATGTCAATTGGTGAGTCCCAGAACTCTAGATCTCTCCTTTCCAGTGATGAAAGTTGAAATATGTTTTACTGGGTGTGATGTAGGCCCTTGTGTTATGTATTCTTTATTAACTCATTTAAGACATTTTGACTGGCCCAGTTCAGCTCCTTTGATGGTTAACCGGTCAGTTCAAGAGCCCTCTTCCGACCAAAGGTAAAGGACGAAATATAGAATATTGGATATCACTACTAGTGCATGTATGTATCTCTTAAAAGCATGTTATGCACTCTTGTCCATTTCTTGCCTAGTATAGCTACATGTATATGTGTATATGTATTGTTGATCTTGTGAACTCATTATCTTCTAATGATCAATCATCAGCCCTATGATCCATAATCCTCTCCTGATCAGTAATGAAGGTATATGTTTGGAATTTTGGATATATCCAGTTCCTTGTAGATGTACTATGTGTTCATATAACGGCCTTATACTCATTTTTGAAGCTACCATAAAACTTTGACAAGTTCAATTCAATCTCGGTCTCCACTTCAATTTATTGCCCCTGAGCCAAGTTTTTTATGATCAAAACCTTTTTTGGTAGTTAATTAGTCAGTTCTAAACCCCTCTCCTGACCAAAGATGAAGGTCAAAATACAGAATCATGGATGTTAGCTAGCCCTCAGACACATAGCAACATTATTCTTACTATTGGAAATGTTCAGTGAAAGGTTGGTTGCCCCCCCCCCCTCCCCCCACTTTATACTATACTACAGGAAGTTGATATAAGGGAAATGTAGTGTTGAATACAAAATAATTGGTACTGAAAGAAGTTGGCATTGAAAAAAAGTTGGCCTCTCTCTCTCTCTCTCTCTCTCTCTCTCTCTCTCTCTCTCTCTCTCTCTCTCTCTCTCTCTCTCTCTCTCTCTCTCCACGAAATAGGATTTTCGAGTTTGGGCAAATTTTTTTTTGCTTGTCAACTTTTTCAAGTAAGGGCAAATTTTTTTTCGCTTGTCAACTTTTTCAAGTAAGTAAAAAAAAATTCTCTGGCTGGCCCCCCACTTTCAAAAACAATGCTACGTGACTGGCCCTTACTATGTAAGAACAAATTCTCGCTGTTTTGGTCAGGCTAGCTAAAATTGTATATTTTTAGCTCTACTGGTCAGAGACTAGAAGAGCTTATGCGATAGTAATGCGTCCGTCCCTCTGTCCGTCTGTCTGTAAACAATTTTTCAAAATGCTACTTCTCCTACAGTTTTGGTCTGATTTCAATATAACTTGGCACACAAGTAGACTACACTAAGATACATAATTCTGTATTGATTTTGGTGAACGGTGTTGCCGTGGTTACTAAAAATAGAAATTTCTGTGAAAAACATTCAAAATGCTACTCCTCCTTAAGCTTTGGTCTGATTTCAGTATAACTTGACACACAAGTAGACTACACTAAGGTACATAATTCTGTTTATCGGTTTTTAATTTCGATGAACGGTGTTGCCGTGGTTACAAAAAATAGAAATTTCTGTGAAAAACATTCAAAATGCTACTCTTCCTACAGCTTTGGTCTGATTTCAATATAAATTGGCACACAAGTAGATTACACTAAGATACATAATTCTGTATATCGGTTTTTGTTTTCGATGAACGGTGTTGCCGTGGTTACTAAAAATAGAAATTTTTGTGAAAAACATTCAAAATGCTACTCCTCCTACAGTTGTTGTCTAATTTCAATATAACTTGGTACACAAGTAGACTACTTTAAGATACATATTTCTGGTTATCGGTTTTTGATTTCGATAAACGGTGTTGCCATGGTTACTAAAAATAGAAATTCCTGTGAAAAACATTCAAAATAATATAACTTGGCACACAAGTAGACTACACTAAGATACGTAATTCTATAAACTGTCAACCAACTTTTATTTGTGACGACTTTATTTCTCGATTTACTGTAGTAAAACTAGTTCGCGACGATTAATTTTCGTGATCAAGCCTTTTTAAAATCTGTTTTGAATGGACACAAAGACTTTAAGGACTGGTTCGCGGCGAGAAATGTTCGCGATGATGAGGCTCTCGCGGAACTTTGCGAAAATTTCTAGCACGCGAATAAAAGTTGGTTCACAGTATCGGTTTTTAAGTTCGATGAATGGTGTTGCCTTGGTTACTAAAAATAGAAATTTTTGTGAAATACCGTATGTACTCACGTATAAGTCGGCTTTTTTGGAGTTAAACTTTGGTCCAAAACTCGATGTCCGACTTATAGGCGAGATATAAAAAGACTGGTATTTTAGAAGGTCAATCTTTCTAACATAAGCTTAAAAAATACATCTGACTTGAGTATATGCGGTACTTTCAAAATGCAACTCCAAATACAGTTTGAGTTTGATTATACGAGTAGTACAATTTGGCATGCAAGTAGACTACCCTGAGATACATAAAATCCGTTTTGTGTTTTTGATGATTGATGTTGCCATAATAATTTAAACTGAAAATTCTGTAAAAAATTATTAAAAGCTACACTTACAGTTGTAGTCTTATTGCAATCTTGCCACAAAGAGACTTAAACAAGGATCATTATTCTATTTATTGCTTTTGTAAAGTTTTAAGTCCCAACTGCTACTTTTCTCTTCCTTTATTTTGAGTACAAACCAGTAGAGCTACAGTCTCGACAGAGACTTCTGGTTTTAACCGGTCTCTCACACGGCCCTTGCCTGACCAGAGATAAATATAGGGTCCTGCACGTTATCTAACCCCTTATTAATGTACGTATCGCTTGTCTCAATAGTAGTCGTTATAATAACCCCGCCAATATACCCGTAAAATAATTACCGTAATTTGAATAGTTTAAACAATATGGTTCGTTATTTGAATTTTTAACCTCTGAATTGCTGTTATTTGATAAGTACAGAAAAAATAGTTTATTTTTACTTATTTATATAGACTGTATTTTGATGGTGTTTACAATTTATAGACAGTATAATGATGGTGTTTACAATTAATAGACTGTATTTTGATGGTGTTTACAATTAATAGACTGTATTTTGATGATACCATGTAACAGTTACAGCTGTATCAATTGTTATTGTCAAGTCATTGTAGACGTCATTGGTGACATTTTATATGACATTTCTAATAAGGGCATCTCAAATCCATGAAATACAAAACATATAAATAAATAAAGTTTACACTTTATTCAGAAGGTTAGAAACAATGCTGATGAACATAACAGATTTTATAGTTGATGACATTTAAAAAATCTTTTGTTCGGGAGAATGGTGGATCCAAACAAAACTGTCTACTTCATATAATCTGTGCAGAATAAATATTGCAATCAACCCTAATGTAATTTATTGAAACTTAACATATTTGCACACGAGACATTACAAAAATATTATAAAACAGAAATATATAACAGAAACAGAGGCTACAATAACAAAAACTTGTTTACAATTAAAATGTTATATAAACATTACAATCTTGTGAAAATAAAGTCTCAACGCAATGTAATTATTCAAAATAAATGAGGAAAAAACAATATCTTGTTCATTTATTATTATAACATATTAATAAGATTAATAATCAATAATATTTTGTACATGTACTAGTTAGTATACGAATTATATATACCAAGCATAGAAAATGCTGTTCGTGAATTTTGAGAAATTGAAATAAAAATTTTCAGTTTTTAGCATTAATCGCAATCAGAATAATTTGAAATTGCCCAATGACAAGATAAGTAAAAGAGTTTCATTTTTATTGAAAAAGCAGCTGTCGTTGGTGCCAGAAAAAGACTGGACTTTGAACTACAGTATCGTGAGAAATGGTTGTATATAGAGTTGAAAAGTCGTCAGATTTTATGTAGAATTTTGCGATTTCTTTTTTTTTCAAAGATCCTTACAAACGAATAAAAGAAACAAGGATGAAAGTTAATATGTGTCATCAATCATGCAAATTA